ATAGAAAACTGCATTTGTAAAGTTAATCCTACCATTTTGAAAGTGTGTCAAAATATTCGGAAAACACACAATGGCTTCAGTTCCATTACTAAACTGATTTATGCTTTATTCGTAAATAACTGGGGCAAAATATGTGTGATGCTACAATTCAGTCAACTTTTCTTTTTTATTTGCTAGAAGGTGCCTTCTCTCACATTCACCAGAGACAGACAGAGAAGGAAAGTGGAAAAGTGTCCACATGGGAGATGGCAGACTATAATCCCTTCTCCTCATTCTCCTTTCAGGATTTTAGATGCACACACAAAAGTACCTGGTGTACTTTTCAAGCCACAGGTCCAGGACTCGAACCACATGGTCAGCCATGTGGGGTCTAGCCACCTTTACCAACATATCACCTGTTGACCCAGCTCAGTAGATGGTAAATAGCCAAGTGGAAACCATTAATGATCTATATATGATAACTTCAAAACTCTTAATACATGAACAAAATATTGCAAGTTCAAAACTAAGAAATATGTGTTAAATATAAAACTTATGCTAATGAAATGAGTCCTTTTCACGTAAAATTTCAGTGCATTTGCCTCTAAAAGAGTTAGATGTGCTGTGACTATTCTGAGTCAGGTTCAGGCACTAATTCAAGGGAATATTTTACTTAAAGTCATTCAGGCACATTTTAAATGACCATCTTCTACAGAATAGAAAAAAGAAGTTAAAAATAAAAAGACTTGGGCCAACAGGTGGGATTGTGGTTAAGGTGCTGAACTCCTACATGGTTGAATATATTTCAAGTCTCAGAACTGGTGGCTAACTCTCTCTCTCTCATGAGCACATGTGCCCTATAGCAAATTTAAGAATAATAATAAGTGGCTAGTAGGTGGTGTGGTGGTTAAAGGCACTGGACTCCCACATGGCCAGCTGCAGTTCAAGTCCTGGACCTGGTGGCTTGCTTTCTCACTTTCCTTCTCCCTCTTTCTCTCTCTCTGTCTGATCAAACTGAAAAATAATAATAATAGTAATTTAAAAAGTTAAATAATTCTTTAAAAAATATATCATAATTTAAAAAAACAGTCAATAAAGATTAAAGCGATTTAAAAAATCTGAATTGTCTCATTGTCGGAATGTAAAACCTTCAGTATTTTGGCTATTAGCTTTCATTTTAATCAAAATGTTATTTGCAGTAGTTCAAGCTATGAAACAGTTCCAAGTAGCATATATGCCATGTTGAATCAACTATTTATATAGTTGATGTAATCAGAAAAATCTTCCCTACTCTTAAAGTAATCTTGGAATGGGGAACAGTGCTACTTGGCTATATCTATTCATCTTCTTTCTTGTTTTAATAACACAAGTGACACCTAAGAAATTATTCTTTGATCTTTCAATAAGCTAAGCCTGTGCAAACAGAGGAAGGTGAAAGAGGTTAAATAGGCATTGATTATTTAAGACACATTCATCATTTATTTAAGCGTCTCCCTCATCATAAGAACTATTGTGTTTATAGGCCTGTGTTGAGACTCACTGAGTTTATTTTTTAAAATCTCTTCTCATGCACACTGGAAATCAGAGCACATTATACACTAACATTAGTTTCCAATCTGACAAATCTGTTGTAGGACAGAAGTAGTGTATCGTCCAAATCTTTAAACTTTTTCAGTATAGGGGATTTTTAACTGATCTTATTATAATTCATGGTATTTTGGGCATTCTATTTCCTCTCTTAAACAATATGTGTGACAATAGTTATCTCTCCAGGAAAATTACATTAATGGTGACTATAGAATCATATTTTCGGAAACTTGTACCACAAAAACATGATCCACAATGTTCTGTAAAGAATAATTTGTGGTCAGGGATCAGCAGTTACTGTAATGGCTATGTTGCTGGACTCCCATGTAATCGACCAAGGTTCGAGTCCTGAACCCAGTGGCTTAAACTCATGTCGGGCATGTGTGCATGTGTGTCCAAGATCCCAAGAGGAGAATAGAGGAGAAGGGACTGTAACGTGGCCATGCCCCCTGGGGATTGATTTCTCACTTTCTGTCTCACTGTCTCTTTCTTTCTGGTGAGCGCACGTGCCCTATAGCAAATAAATCTTTCAAAACAAAACGAAAAAAGAATAATTTGTAGTTAATACTGGCAACTTCAGGAAGAAAGCAAAATGGTATAAGAATCATCCTCACCACACAAGATTTCATAAGATTTTTCTTTTGGGGCTGGCCCCATATTCTGTTTAAGGAAGCCAGGATCCCATCTGGCTGACCAGAGTTCAAATCCACACTGTGGCAGCTGAAAAGCATGCCAGGCCTGTAAGTGAGTATGCCCGAAAATTGTTGCTGGATAGAGAAATGGAGGAGAAGAAATTGTAGCATGGCCATACCCCATTGGATGGTACTTCCTCTCTCTCCTTCTCCATCTCTTTCTCTGATGAGTGCATAAACCCTGTGGCAATTAAAATAAATAGACTTTTTTGTAAATTTTATATATATGTATATATACATACATACACACACACATATACATACACACATATATGCATGTGTGCATGTGTGTATATATTGGTGAAGTAAAATAATGTAAATTTATATTGCCTAAGAAATATGTAAACAAATTATTATAAATTAAAGATTATCAAACGATTAGAAAATTTATTCTGGTTGATTAAATTAAAATGTTGAATCAAATACTTTCAAATATTTATGCAATGCTTCACAGTTAAAATATTTCATTTTTATTCTTTTTAGTTTGCTGTAATGTGCATGCATTCACACAGAATGGGAAAGTGAGAAAGCATACCTAAGGGGGATGCCATATACCAATCCCTTCTCCTCTATTCTCCTCTTGAGTTTTTTGGGCATGTACACAAATACACGCAGGATGATTTTCAAGCTTCCGGGTCCAGGACTCAAATCGCTCAGTCAAAGAAGTGGCATTCAGTCACCTTAGCCCACTACTCCACGAGCTGGTCCCTACTTATTTCTAATTTCTTCATTAAAAAAATTTCTCTCCCCAGTTTTTCCTATATAAAATGCTCTATAGCTTATTACTATTGTTATATGTAGTTGTTTTCATAAGTTTCCATACACATATTTTAGTAATTAATTTGGTGATTACATCCTAGAATACAACACCAGGACATGTAAATCAATCCTTTAGGACAGATTACTATTCAGTTAACAACTACCTAAGTCACAACAAATATTCATGCAAGCAATCCTTTAAGGATTTACCAAGAAAGTTTTATTCCTTTACCTTAACTCAATCCAAATGGCTCTCTATGTTATGCTATCTCTGCTGCATATGAAAAAGTGCTTAAGAAGAATGAAGATTTAATGAGGAGAAGCTATGTTCATTCATAGCTTTTTTTTAAACTGTTAAACTGTATGTGTTTTGATTTCCTTTTTAAAAAAAACACATTATTTTAAATAAGAATAGACTTTCACAAATATCTTCCAGTATTGAACATATTGAACAAGTAGCTTCACCTTTCTGGGATTCAGTTAACTTATTTGAAAATTGATACCTCTGAAATAAGTAGACTCTAAATTAATCTGTATTATCTCTGTTGTATGCTATTATTTTGGTGAAATAAGATTTAATGGGAATTATGGCTTGATACTGAACAACACTCTGAATTACAGATTTATGAATATATACAGTAGTATTTGTGAAATATATATTTGGTTTATTTCCTAGGGAATGATATACAAATATTATATATTTAAGATTTTTAAAAATACCATCCAAAATAAACACTCAATTACTCGTGGTAAATAATCTTCAAACCTTATAAAATTATTTGTTTTTGATAATAATTATCAACATTATTTAACTAGCATGTGATATGTATTCAAGAAGTCTCATAGTTACAATATTGATATCTACAATATTTAGATATCTATAATAATTATATATTAAAATTAGTGTATAAAAAGTAAAAGAAAATAATAGCTTTTAGTGGTTTTTAAATTTAAAAATAAAATATATAAACATTTAAAAACAATTTGTACTTGAATCCAAAACTTTGGTTTATTTCCCAAGAAAAACAAGTCATTTTATATAAAATATATTAAAATAGTTTGCAAGGCAACACTAAAGTGACGCTCATTTTTATGTTATTTATTATAGAATGAAGATGTACAGATGAACATACATTTTATCATTATACCTCTTCTTAAGACTCAAATAAAATTGTATCTGTTCTATTCCTACTTGTCCACCAAGTTCCTAAAATAATATTAATAAATGTTTTTAAATAGAACAGAGGGTTGTCATCAATGTTAGGTATAAGATGAACAAATTAATTCATTTTTTTTTAATCAAAAGTAAGTTTAAAGTCATGAACTTAGGCTAAATGCAAACTCCATAGCTGTGTTCAAGAAAATTGGAGATTAATACCAACGTTTCCCCAAATCATCCGGTAGTACTAGGAACTGTATCATATTAAAACATGTTTTACAATTCCATTTTGGCAGTTTAACAAGTATTTCACACTAAGAAAAAAAAATACCAGCTTTCAATTAAATTATTTTCTGCTGCCTGCACTGAAGCCCACCAGCTAAAATATCATTGTAAATTTCTCCACAAAGTTGTATTTCCTCTAAGTTCCTGCATGTAAAAATGATATACTAGGCCCTTGGTGATTGCAAACATAATAACTTCATTAAACTGTTAATAAATAAACTAGAACTTTCTTAAAAACAAATTGTCTTAGTAGTCTGAAATGTATTTTCCACATGTCTGAAAATTCACCAATTCAAAAGACCCTATTAGAGATGTTATGTAGAAAAATATTAATAAGACATTGGTATGCTAGTTGGTGCCTGTAATTATCTTTTTCAGTTCCAAAAGGTATTTGGGGATTGTTTAAGAGCAAAAGATGAATGATGTACCACTAAATTCTATTAAATCAATGTGTGGACCCAGCAGCAGCAGAGGTAAATAAACTGTGGAGGTCAGACTACCCATGAAGAATATAAAAACGGTTTCACATAGCTACTTACATCACAGCCTAGAAGTTCGGTCTGTGTGGATTTATCTACTCTTGAAGCAAAAGCCTTCTGCAAATGCTGGACCTTTTCCTGCAAAATGGAGAAAAAACAAAACAAAAACAAAAAAGGATATAGCTGTGAGTCAGGTAGTTACACTAACATTCCCCACTTAGAACACTTGGGTTCTTTCTTTTCTTTTTGTACTTTGCTTTGTGGATGCTTTCCAAGTCAGTTTAAATATTTAGAGCTTTAATTTCCAAGTCATAGCCATCCTGCTTTAGGTATCTTTTCTCCTAGTACAAGACCTACTGAGTCAGAATCACATTTGAACTGTAGAGACATGATTTGCTGAAATCCAAGACCCGATGTCTATACCATGTTTCCTATTAGCTAGTTTTTGATAACTAAATTTTATGGTTTTAAAGATCAAGTTTCAGAGCATGTATATTTAAAATCCAAAACATTTTCAATAAATGATACCGCCCAGTGGATCTATTTAGTTTTTAATTTTTTATCTTGTTAATTCACTCCAGGAATTCCTATATATTTAGCGATTTGTATTTTAAGGGACTGATACTAATCCGACCCTGAGATAATTCAACTAGGTTAGGAAGTAATACATGAAGAAGCTTTGGGCTTTCCTATTTCAAACCAATGTGCTAATTCTGGGTCAGCTAATTTGACTGGGCTTCTCTCTGAGGCCATCTCTTCATTCCTGAATGTGTTGCTTAAAATAAAATAGGATTTTGACCCAAGAGGAGAATGCAGAAGAAAGAGATTGTGTCATGCCATCCCCCCGGAGGGGGTGATTTCTCAATTTCTGTCTGTCTCTCCCTGTCTCTCCAGTGAGCATACACCCCCGCCAGGGCAAAAATCTCTCTTAAAAATATATAAATGAAATGGGATTTTGAACTTAATTATGCAATGTGCTTAATGTATGCCTTACAGCTGACTTTGCTGTACTCAAATGATCACATCTTATTTTAGGATTTTCATTACTATCACGATTGAAAAGGAAACAACACCGTTTAGAAAGTGTAAGAAATTTGAGAAAGTTTCCAACAAAGTTCATGTGATTCATCTAGACTCTTTTCTACTTCCTTTTTCTTTTCTTTTTTGTTTTTTTTTTTGTTTTTTCTTGTTTGTTTGCTTAGAGGACATGAGCTTGTCAGAGAGAAACAGAGAGAGAGAGAGAATCACTTCCTAGGGAAGAGGGCCACACTCAGTCCCTTCTCTTCCATTCTCCTTTTGAGACTTTGAGAACTCATGCACACACACCCAGCTTGTTTTTCAAGCTGCTGAGTCCAGGACTTGAACTCCACAGTTAGTCATGTGCGGTCCAGCTGCCTTAACCACCATGCCACCTGACTGCCCCCATTTTCTTTCTTTAAAAAAAAAAATGAACAAAGTATTTGTAGAATGCATGAATGATAAAATCAGAGTTTAAATTGCTCTTTTCCCGGGATTGACAGTGGTTATCAACAACTTCGCTGCCAAGGATTGCAATTATGCAAAGCTCTTTCTTCCCTCTCCTCTTCCCTTTTCTTTTCCCATTCTTCTGCCTTTTTCTCTGCCTTCCTTACCTCCCTCCTCCTCTCTCCCTATTGTCTCACTCTTCCTGAGATTTGCAAGATTTTCTGAAATGTTTTAAAATTTTTATAAATAACTTAGGTAATAATGATTTAGTCTGACTTATTGAAATACAGAAGAGAGTGGCCAGCAGGTGGCTAGGTGGTTAAGGGCATTGGACTCACATCGCCAAACTGTGGTTCGAGACCTGGACCTGGTGGTTTGCTTTCTCACTATGCCTCTTTCTCTCATCCTGTCCCTCTCTGGTCAAACTAAAATAAATAAATAAATGAAGTTAAATAAAATAATTCTTAAATAGACAATATTTATGTACTATTAGCACCTCAGACCTTTTCACTTCCCTAATCACAAAACTTGTATTGCTCCTACTGCTGCTGTTCAGAAAGAAATAAAACAGACTAGTAATTTAGGAAGGGGCTATATGAGAGAGGAAAAATTCTGTTTAAAAAAGAACGAGTGAAAACGTGGCTGTGTTTTCCAAATTAAATTTAAAATGAGAAGCAATATGTTGATTTTGTTTAGACTTAGTGAGACGAAGAACAAACACAGAAAGGTAATAACAAGCTAAAGAAGCAAATGTTTGCTCGCCTTGAAAAGTTGTGGAGAGGGTGGCTGAGTGAGCTGTTAACACCGTGGTCAAGCCGTTGGACTCCCACATGACTGACGCATTCGAGTTCTGGATCCAGAGGCTTGTAACTCATGCTAAGTGTGTGTGCATACATGCTCAAAATCCCCAGAGGACAATGAGGAAGAAGGGACTGTAGTGCAACTATCTTTCCAGGGCGGGGAGTGATTTCTCACTTTCCCTCTCACTGCCTCTCTGTCTCTACAGTGAGCTCACACACCCTGTGATTAAAAGCTTACTATATATAAAGCTGTTGAGAAAAGATTGGTAATCTACTTTGTGTTCAAAAAATATTGATTTAATTTTATTTACTGTTATTATTTTTATTTTCTATAGGGCATATCTGCTCCCCAGAGAGAGAATTAGAGACAGAAAGTGAGAAAGCAAGTTGTCTGGTCCAGGACTCAAACCGCGATCAGCCATGTGGAAATCCAACGCCTTATCCATACCTCCTGCTAGCCCCAGGGATATCTATTTTTAAGAGAAATTGCCATCGTACGTATCTGAAAAATAAATTTTATTGTAAACCTATAGGCATATAAACTGTCATGTATGATTTAGACCCTATAACTAATGTACAGAGCAGGAGAAGACGATGGCAAATGCTTTTGGTCTGCTTCTGCTCGCAATCTACACTCTGGGTTTCTGCCCTGAGGCCAGGGTGTGAGGGCTGCGACATCTCTAGCGCATTGCTCTCAGCATGGCTTAGGAAATTCAAACAAAGATTAATGAAAAATTCAAGCACTTCATTAACCAATAGCATAATGAAAACAAAAGCAAATACAAAACCCTAAATAAGGAATTACTGGTTTTGAAGGGAAAAAACAAACAAACAAAAAACAACTTGACTGGCATTTGTATTAATTTCTTTGTCACTTCTTCTTGTAGACATTAGTCACAACAATAAATATGAGGCATTTCAATTATTGAGTACATATGCACTTGAGTGCCAAATACAAATATGGAAAGTGATTAAGTTTCAAATACTCTTAGATGTAAATAATGGATAATTAAGGATTTTCATTCATACACTCAAAGGCAGTAAATAAATATGAAAGTTTATGATAAATTTCTATAATATACAACAGGAGATTAAAAAACGACAACACAGCTTTTGAAAGACAATCTTCTAAGATCTACAAGTTAGATGAATATTTATGGAGTGCTAAGTGCTAAATTTATTATATAATAAAGATTATTATGGATAATCAAATATAAAATATACCACAAAAGTAGTTATTACTGTACTGTGGTTTTGCAGATATTTTTAATTTCTAATGTAATAAATGAATATATATCAATTTTATTAAAATATATGTTTATTATATATATTTTATCAAGTATTGAAACAAAGCATCATCTATTTTCAATGATGCAATATCATGATTAAAGTCTTGATTAAAATGATTAGTTTGGGGGATCAGCAGGTGGCATGGTGGTTAAGGTGCTGGACACTCCCACATGGCTGACCACAGTTCAAGTCCTGGACCTGGTAACTTGCTTTCTCACATTCCTCTCTTTCTTTCTCTCTCTCTCTCTCTCTCTCTGGTCAAATTAAAATAAATGAATGAATAAATAAAATTAAATAAAATAAATCTTTAAAAAATAATTAATTAAAAGTATTGGTTTATTTCACCATGGAGAAAATTTACCTAGATAAAGTAAGTTTATTTGCATCCTTATTTCATCTATTATTTATTATTAAATGCATATTATGAGCATTGCTTAGAGTCAGAGACATGAAGGAAACAAAAAAAGTATAGCCCTTTCCAAAAGAAATTTCCAGTGTGAAAGACAATAAGTATTCAATGTCTAATGCCCACTCACTACAGAGATAGCAGAGGAGTGTGGGCGTAGGAGAGGAGACACAGGGAAGTTCAATTATTTGAAATGCAGAAACTACTGACATCCCAACTAAGACTAGAAAGATAAAACACGAGTAGAAGTGGGTGATGCTTAGTCTTGCATAGGCAATAGAATAGGGGGATGTTTCCAAGTCAAAGACATCAGGACAAAGACATACCCCAATAGCTATGGGTTCAAAATTCCAAAGGAGAGTCACTGAGAGGGAGAGTAGTGAGATGTTAGACCGCAGAGGAAAACTATCTATGCCAGAAAGGATAGAACACTTGGTCAAAGGATTTGCAAATTATCTTCATTTTCAAAATATTATTTTATAACTAAAAATATTTTGAACATATTTTAATTAAATTACAACAGAACTTATTAAAATATAATTTTATTCCCTTTATATTACACATAAGAAAGAGGAGTAGAAGGAAGCAACATGAGAAGAGAAACAATCAAACTGTATTAAACTTGATTTTTCTTGACCATCTTGGCCACATGGAACTTAAGGTGGCACTTCAGTATTCTCCTCTGTAAGCAAACACTGAGAAGGAATTACTTCTCTAACCTCTTTCAGAGGGATAGTGGAGAATTACAAAATAACTCTTGGTATATGTGTTTTACAAACAATCTTATACCCTTAGTAAAATATCATGTTGTCTTTGAGTTGTCCTTTCTAAGCAATGGAAATATTAATACTTCTTAATAAAACACACTCCTTGCTTTTTTTTTCCTCATTTATGATTAGGAAAACATGAGGGCTTAGAAAAAACACAGAAGACAACTGGCAGATTCCTCAGGAAATTAATAGTCAACAGGGGACAATTCATAATTCACATTTGCTATAAAATTGCCACCTGATCTACGTCCTTTATATGTGGTGGTTTTGAATGTTATATAATATTTGTGGTGGTTTGAATGTTATATAATATTTGTGGTGGTTTGAATGTTATATAATATTTGTGGTGGTTTGAATGTTATATAATAAAAAATCGTAATAAATTTGCTCTACAAATTTTCAAGTATT